GGGGGGGGGGGAAGGGAGATACTTAACATCAATACCAAATCTGATATTTTTCTGACCACCAGCAATGCTAATCCCTGCACATTTACTCAAGAGGTTCCACAGGATCCAGTGGTGCTTTCTCCCAAGAGAGACTAGCCCTCTTAAATCATGCAAAACACTGAAACCTACTCTCAAGTAAACCTGAATAAGACATGTAGTGTCATTAGGGACCCTAATACATTTGGTGAGTAAAGCAACTCTGCCCAGCCTGCTTTCAGACAGATGTTCGGGGTTTAATCTCCTAATCCATAACTGCTCGCAATGTTAGCAGCAAGTTACAGAAACTGCAGCGCAAAGCAGCTCAAGGCTACCGGATTAGGAAAGACAGGACCAGAGGTTAAAATCACATACAATGTGCCATGGTATCTGTGACGAACCATTGGGTTTGGGGAGTCCCATTCTCACCACTCAGCCACACTACCCTATTGATTCTGGAGTGGGTGAGCCCAAGAAAATTAAATGTGGCGATGGCTAAGGTATCAGCCTGGTCCCCGAACCCCACTAATCTGACACACCTAAACAGTGGTTTCATAATCCCCCACATAGCATGGCCAACAGTTACACTGGCTGTAGAATTCTGGGGGTTGCAGCAAAAAGCTTCTCCAAGCTCAGAGTCAAATCATTGGTCCACACAGCCCAGTACAATATACCAGGCTGGCAGTAGCATCCCCAGTTTCTTTCCCTGCCCTGCCTCAAGATACCTTTCATGTACACAGGTAGCACTCCATCACTGTGCTATAGCCTGTCTCCTGGGGTCTGTCAACACAGAATAGTTCCTCCAAGTCTTTCTCCAACCCAATGGCCCTTAATATACCAAGCCAACATGGGTCACTGGTTATTCAGCCAAAGTGCCTTACCATTCTTCACAAATCCAATGAATTCTTTTACAGTTTGATCCAGGCTAACACCATGGTACACAACAGGTCTGAAGTTACGGTGCTCAAATGAACGAACTAGACGGACAGTTATAGTAACGTCTCCCGATGACATGAGTTAGGTACAAATTACCTGGAGGGCGAAAATGTAATGCAGCATCAAATTAGGTTTCTGAAGGAAATTCGTTCTGACAAATAAAACCTTAAGGTTCTATGTTGGGTACAAAGGAGAGTGTCATACAAATAAGTGCTTGCCTTTTAAAACATACATTTAATACACAAACCTTTATTTTTAGAATTTGGGGCCAATTAAAAGGATCAAACCTATCCATTTTGAAGGAAATCAACCTCAAGTGCTCACTGGAAGGACAGATCTTGAAGCTGGGGCTCCAATACTTTGGCCATCTCATGAGAAGACTCCCTGGAAAAGACTCTGATGTTGGAAAAGTGTGAAGGTAAGAGGAGAAGGGGAAGAAAGAGGACGAGATGGTTGGACAGTGTCACCAAAGCTACCAACATGAATTTGACCCAACTCCAGGAGGCAGTGGAAGACACGAGGGCCTGGTGTGCTCTGGTCCATGGTGTCACAAAGAGTCGGACACGACTTAATGACTAAACAACAACAAAAGGATCATAGAATGTAGAGAAAAGATGTTGAAAAAAGTACAGAGCTGTGGGTTATGTACAAACCAGATGATAAATTAGGATACTCTAATCAAAACTGCATTAGACTAAACCTTAAGTCAGAAGCAACTTGGGGGCATATAACAAATAAGTGGTTGCCATATGTTTCAGCATCATTCCCCCTTTGGATTTTTAAAAAACCCTCACGTGTCTCCACTTTGCCGTTTAGTCGTGTCCGACTCTTCGTGACCCCATGGACCAGAGCACGCCAGGCCCTCCTGTCTTCTACTGCCTCCCGGCAGAGAATATAATCAATCTGATTTCGATATTGCCCATCTGGTGATTTCCATGTATAGAGTCGCCTCTTGGAGTAGGAAATGGCAAGCCACTCCAGTATCTTTGCCAAGAACGCCCCATGATCAGAAACAAAAAACCCTCACACCTCTCCACTTTTCCTTTACCATCATTCTTTTGTTACCAAACAAAAGTTTATAACATAAAGATAAAACCAACCTTTTTTTAAAAAAAATTACTTTTAAAATAATGAGAAATAATGATGACATCCATCACAAAACATCAACAGAAATAGAATTTATCTTAGCAATACCAGAAATGAAACAAAGATTGTGTGAAGAATACTGCTGCATCTGTCAGCCTTGTGCCTTCTACCTCCTCCCAGTTTGCTACTCAAGATTCTAACAAGCCTGTGAAGTTCACAGAAGTTTTAATTTGGCCCACATTTTTATTTAGTCAGATCTCTTGGTCAACATCCCTTGAACGCTTTTCCTTTTTCAGAAAACGTGATCCTAAGTTTCCTCCCACCCCCAACCACCAACAATCCAGGATATACTAAAGTAGGGTTTCCCAGATAGTTCCCTAGTTACCAAGATGGGAAGGATCTTTCCCAGAGGAAAAAAAAATAAAGGTTCAAGAGTGCTTCTTGTAAAGGATCAGAAAGTGTGACCCACAGGAAGATTTCACATAATGCAGTGGGCAAGCAGATGTAGAGGACAGCAGAGTCTAAGGGCACACAGCTGAAATCCCCACTGAGCTGGGGGGGGATTTAAAAAGCCGATCAATTGGGCAGAGCAAATACAGTAGTTCATAAACAAGCTCAAAGGAAAACTAAGCTAGATATACAAAAAATAAACATATTACCAGGATTGTTTAAATTAAAGGTTAGGGAATTTTGGGATCTGCAGTCCAAAAACAAAAATCTGTACAGATATGATTTAAACAGTTTCATTTTCTCTTACTTATTTTTTAGAATTTTGTTTTACTTCTATGCCACGTTTCTCCCATCAAGGGAGTTGATAGCAAAGAATTATCAAGAAAACTGTGGACCAAGTGTCAGCTAGAATTAATGTCAACAGCACAATCCAGCGCCTGGCAACTGAGACATAAATCCTACAGAGAATAGTGTGGTTCACTGCCAGGTAAATTGATGCACCAAATTATACCAATATGTGTTTTCACCTGTTCTAAAAAACAGGACTGGCTCCTGGGGGCTAAGACTGATAATTATCAGCATCACAGCAAGCTGGAACATATTATTCATCCTTTTCCTGTTTTCTGAGCAGCAGGAGAGGAAAGGGTTAGGTTAAAATCCAAAATTAAAGGAGAGGTTTGCTTCTGATTGCCACACTGCTGCTCACAGACAGACAGCCAAGAAGGTCACAGCTAAGACACAGCTGTGTCGGTCTCACACTTATGGAGACACACCACAGCCACTTTGACTATTGTCTGTAGCCTCACCTGTAAAAAATAACAGCCATGTAGCCTCCACTCTAGAGTCTGAGGAAGCAAACTCTCATCCATAAAAGCTCACATTGAAATAGACCCCTATAAAATCTGACAATGTTGTGTGGCTCCCTTCCTTCTGTCCTGCCACTAGAGAAATGATTTCACAAAACAGGTTGGCAAAATTAAGGAGACAAAAAAGGGGGGGGGAACCCAAGAACAAAACAGTGTGACACTTTAAAGACTAATAGATTTGTTTCAATGTCAGCTTTAGGGGATCAAAATCCACTCCTTCAGGGTGAGACAAATCTTTAAAGTCCTTAAAGTGCCACATTATTTTGTCATCTTGTCTTTTTCCCTTCCCCCCGCCCTTTAATTTTTACAACATACTGCTGCTACTTCTTTGGAATCGTCCCAAAATCGCCCCAAAAGGCTCTGGTGTTTGCTGTCCCCGTCTCCTGACTTAGCCCTTTCTCTCCTGAAGGTTACGTTTCTCTGCCCACCTCAGGTAGGAGAACCATCTCCACCAACCATGGATACCACTGGTCAGTTAAAGTTAGAAAATATGTTTAAAACAAATATATACAAGATTGCCCTGCATAAATCAATACAAAAACAAAAAACTACGCTTTCCATTTTAACAGTAACTGTCCACCAAATTTGCACTTATATTGAACACCTGTGCATTCTTAGTGCAGTATAAATGATCTTTTTCTCAAATCCCAACCTTCATTCTTAGGTACCTAGAAACAGAGTATCCACTTTTACCTTAACACCTAAATTCTAAATTCTTCACCACTGACAGAACTTTACAATGAGCAATGCAGAAGTAATTATATGTCTTTTAACGAATTATCAAGTATGCCTTTTAAAACTAACAACTGGATGAGAGTGAAATAGGATGCATATCAAACGTCATGGGAAATTTTAAAGGAACTCACACTATCAGATCCTTGCTTTATTAAATGCCTATCCCTAATGTTTACCTCTCAGCACTAATCTAATCCATCGTTCTTAACAAATCTAGGAGTGAATCCAAGAATAATATCACATTCAAACAGACGTATAAAATCATAAGGGAAGTTTTAATCATTTATCAGAAACATCTTCGGTCGGAAAAAGCTGGTTGGAACCCAGTGTATGCTTCAACTGATGAATGACAAATAAAACAAATGCAAATTGCTGTTTGCACATGATCTTGTTTTGCATGTAAAGTATTACTTAAGCCAAAGCATTAACTGGGATTAAAACATGTAATAAATTTATGAGCAAGGTAGGTTGTGTGTCCCCCCACCCCCCGTGGTCTTCCCCTACGTGTTCCTGCCAAAGGAAAAGCCTCCTCAGTTGTGGCCCCCTTTATGCAACACCTTCCCTCAGGAGGCTGACCTGGCACCCCGACTGCCACCCCCTTGGCATCAAGCAAGACTTTCCTCTTCTCCCAAGCACTCTAGAACTCATGACTGCTTTTGCCTATTTTCTTTTGCTATGGGATTTCCCCCCCTGCACTGCATTCTTTTAGGTTTTGTTATTTGCCAGAAAGTCTCAAAACTGCGCATATCACAGAGCAGGGGCGGGGGCACTTTATATCGTGCTTTCTCACATATTGATTTTGTCCCAAATGCTGGATATGTATCGACTATTGTGTCACAACCACACAACCCAATCCACAGGTCCTTCACTCTCATTCCAGTGCACTCCCTTTGCTTTGCTCATTACCACTAAGGTGATCATTCAGATTCCTCTCTCACCTACTACAGCACATGTGTCAAACTCAAGGCCCACGGGCCGAATCCGGCCCGCTGGGCCATTTCATGTGGCCCTCACAGTTTGCCTGCTACTGTACAGTATACAATACGCAAGCGCTTACTCGGTCACCCATAATGCTCCACAAGGATGCTGGGAATCCACCCAGCGGGACTTTTAATCCCAGCATTCCAAGCAGTGAAGAGCCAGAAAGTGCTACAGTAATTGAATGAGGAGGATTATATTTAATATGATAAAGAGTAGATACATTACAGATACAACCAGCCCTTTGAGGGCAACCATAATGCCAATGCAGCCCAAGGAGAAGTTGAGCTTGACAGCTTTGCACTAGAGGAAGACTTCGCTTTCCTCAACTACGCAGATTGCCACTTCCAGCTCCTCAGCACCCAAACCCAAATACTCCTGCCCGCGAAAGTCACATGATCGCAAGTCAGCCAACTCACCTCCACCCACATGGATCCCGGATGCAAAAAGACCCTTTTTTTACTTCTACCTGTCCCGCCCGTCATCGGTGATGGCCTGTTTCAGCCACATTCCAGAAAGACTCTTAAAATTCCCCACCCCCAACAGGCGGGGTTGCACATTTCATTGGCTTTAAACCTTTTGCTTTAGCGGTAAGTTGCACCCACCAATGTTCTTTGGTACCTTCCCGGTTTCCCACTTCTCTTGCTATCCACCATAGAGATAAAAATGTAGGGCCTCCAATCAAAACTTAAATCCTTATGATTAGAGGTGTACAGATTTGTTTTTCTTGGGCGACAACTTCCAGAATTATCCCAGCAAACAAATCCTGCACAACTCTTATGATCCTGTTGTTGTTGGCACTGTGTGAAATTTTTACTAAAAATACTCTGGCTGTACAGCAGAAAATGCAGAAACTTACAGAGCAGAATTAGGCTGAAGTCTCTCCAGAGTAGACAACCAGGTTTGTTTTTTGTTTGTTTGTTTATTTGTTTGGTCTCATCAACTGACACTTACAGAGCAGAATTAGGCTGAAGTCTCTCCAAAGTAGACAACCAGGTTTTTTGTTTGTTTGTTTGTTTTTGTCTCATCAACTGACACAGTATCAATAACTCAGTCTGAGATATCGTTAAGAAAAAGAATGAAACTTTCAGTTTACTTTGTTCTGAAGAAGTTGAAAATGAAACTTACAGAGCAGAATTAGGCTGAAGTCTCTCCAAAGTAGACAACCAGGTTTTTTGTTTGTTTGTTTGTTTTTGTCTCATCAACTGACACAGTATCAATAACTCAGTCTGAGATATCGTTAAGAAAAAGAATGAAACTTTCAGTTTACTCTGTTCTGAACAAGTTGAAAACAGCACATTGTAGGAAAAAATGGCAGGTTACATGAACAGAACAACTGAATCATAGTCTGCTTACTGACTATACATACTGCACTACACAACTAACTCTAAACACTAACTGAATTACTGACTAGATTGAAAATATAGCTAACTATAGGGGAAAGACTCCGGCAGAGAGGTGTGGCTCTCTTCAAAATCAGAGGCAGAGGGAACAATCTTTCAAAATCAGAGGCAGAGAGGGAACAATCTGCTAGTGCTGAATTGATTGACAGTCACCCCAGCCTAAAAAGTCCCTCCCAGACAAAACCTCTTAAAGGCAGCATAGATTGCTAAAACTCTGAGTTATGTGTCCTCAAGTTTCCCCAGACTGACAACAATCCTTTGATCTCCAAAATGTCCTATCCTCTAATGCCTGCTCAACTCCTACAAAGTAAAGTCCGTGGATTCCTTTAGGAAGCCTGTCCACCTCATAGTTGGTCGTCTTCTTTTCTTGCTGCCTTCAAACTTTCCCAGCATTATTGTCTTCTCCAGAAAACCCTGACTTCTCATGATACACCCAAAGGAGGACAATTTCAGTTTCAACTCAGTTATGATCCAGAATTTAGTATTTTCTTCTTAGCCAGTTACAGCAACAAAACGAAAAAAAGTTTTGCAGCAATTAATTTTATTACTGTTTGAGCTTTTCAGGAATACAGGCCACACATCTGCAGATGTGTCTGACGAATCAGTCTGTAGTCACGGAAACATTTTGATTTATCAAAACATACTGGTTTTTAGAATGCCACAACGCTCTTCCTAGTACACAGACGGCAGGTTGCCTGCAAAGCTGAAAGGAAGTTCCAATTAATGGCATGGTACTTGCTTCTGAGTAGCCATGTACGGGTCTCTAATACACATGTCCTATAGTTTTTCTGTTTTAGATGGCATGTACAGGTGCTATTTATTCACAACTACGTCTCATTCTGTCCAAACTGCCAGGATTTCTTACCTAGTAGACTATTTCATCTACTGTACTTTGCTACATTACCAAGGCAGCCATTTGGGAGGAGGCAACCCTGTTAGTCTGTGCAAGCATCCCAGGCAAAATCCAAGGAAACAAAACTGGATAAAAACATGTGGCACCTTAAAAACTATTATATTTCAAAGCAAGCTTTTGTGGACACCAAGACAGTGTGGTATAGCACAGTGGTTCTAAAAACATGTGGCACCTTAAAAACTATTATTTTCAAAGTAAGCTTTCATGGACACCAAGACAGTGTAGTACTGTACTGTATAGCATGAACTTTCTCAACCTTGGGTCCCCAGATGTTCTTGGACTACAACTCCCAGAAATCCTAGCCAACACAACTAGTGGTGAAGGCTTCTGGGAGTTTTAGTCCTGGAACATCTGGGGACCCAAAGTTGAGAACCATTGGTAGCAGACCAGGACATAGGAGACCTGGGTTCAAATCCCTGCTTGACCAAAAAAAAAAAATAAACCAAGGGGGTGGTGGAGGGACTGCTGGTACTGGTAAAACAACTCCCTGTCAAGTTGGAACCACCTATAGCGTCCCTAGTAACGCTTGTGAGAGAAGAGAAATATTTAAGGAGTGGTTTTTACCAGTTCCTGTCCTCCAGTGAGTTTCCAGGGCCGCGGGGAATTTGAACCGTATTCTCCAGAGTCTCCATCCATCCCTCTATATCCACTACACCCCATTCCAGTGGCTATAAACGGGATGCCCCGTTGAGGCCGGACAGCAAACGTGTGTTCAGGATTGCAAAGAAAACCGTGGAGAAAGCAAGATTGAACACCCAGTTCAATTTTAAAACCAGAAGTAGCAATAAAAACAAACAAACAAAAAAAAAAAGCAAAGCAGCGAAGGAAGATATTAACTAGCCCGATTCGGTCAAAGGAGGCAATTACTTAGGCTGCCAAACTTAAAAATAATAGTAACAACAACACATCTATTTCATTGCAATGTTATCCCTTCCTCCGCACCGTGAGAGCGAGGAGGCTCAGGAGCCGCGACTGGCCCGGCATCCCCACCTCCACCTTTACTCGCTCCCACCGCCCAGCTCACGTTTCTATTCGAAAATAAATGCGAATTGGTGGGTGGGGGGTGGGAGAGGATCACCTCCTCGCTTGGGCGGCAGCTCCGCTCGGGGAAGGGCCGCTGCCCGATCACAACCCCGTCGCAACACTGGCTTTTCTCCGGATTCTTCTGCCGCCACTGTGTTGCCCGTCCCGGGAAGGCCCACAATAGGATGGCCGAAAGAAGCCCGGAAGTTTAACCTATTTGCGGGGAGGAAAGAGTTACAGGTCTCTCAGTTTTGTTACTATAAAGGCAAGCGCAATAGTATGCTACGTCGTTGCGTCAGGAGTCCCGCCTTGGTATCACGTGCTGGGAGACGTCTCGCTACAAAAGTCTTCCGATTGGCCACATGATATTAAAGCCCGCCTACTCGTGATTTACAGACTTATTACAGATCAAGTAGAATCCTAGTTTTAGAATACAATTTCAATCCGAAACCTGAGTAGCAGCCGTGAGCTACTCAGGCATCCTCCACACCTTTCCCCTCCCATACAGCCTGTATTTATTGCTTTTAATATCAGCGACATCATCTTTTTTCAAAGCAACTTGGTAAAGATCTAGTCTGTTTCTATCATTTCTCCACAGGTGTCCAAAGGGAGCTTCCATAAGCGGAAGTTTGTTGTTGTTTAGTTGTTAAGCCGTGTCCGGCTCTTTGTAACCCCATAGACCAGACCACACCAGGCCCTCCTGTCTTCCACTGCCTCCCGGAGTTTATTGAAATTCATGTTGGTTGCTTCGATGACACTGTCCAACCATCTCATCCTCTGTCGTCCCCTTCTCCTCCTGCCTTCACACTTTCCCAACATCAGGGTCTTTTCCAAGGAGTCGTCTCTTCTCATGAGAAGGCCAAAGTATTGGAGCCTCAGCTTCAGGATCTGTCCTTCCAATGAGCACTCAGGGTTGATTTCCTTTAGAATGGATAGGTTTGTTCTCCTTGCAGTCCAGGCGATTCTCAAGAGCTTCCTCCAGCACCACAATTCAAAGGCATCAATTCTTCGGCGGACTGCTTTCTTTATGGTCCAGCTCTCACTTCCATACAGCGCTACAGGAAAAAAAAACATAGCTTTGACTATGCGGACCTTTGTCGGCAAGGGGATGCGGAAGTAGTGTCTATTTCAGCTCTTTCTGTTATAACTCTACCGGCTCTGCCATCCCTGACTGACAGCAGAGCCATGAGTCTCCGCCCCTCTTTGGCGATTGGTGGGTAGGAGCTGGCCTGAT